CCGCCTCAAACTCTCCTTTGTCTTAGTTTCAACAACACCAAATTTCAAAGGGAAGTATTGATCATTGGGATCCCTACTCATATCAATTAGCAATTGTTCTCCATATTTGGTCTTTAAGTGACAGCCATCAACCCCAACAAATGGTCTACATCCATATATAAATCATTTCTTACAGTCATCAAAACAAAAGTAAAATGAGCCAAACTTTGGTTGTATCGAGGGTATTGGTCTGTCAACATTAATCTTCACAGTATTCCCAGGATTAACCCTTGTCAATTCAGCTGCATACCTCTATTATTTATCAGCATCACCTTTAATTATTTTCTTTGTAATCAACTTTGACCTCCATGCTCTAGCAACACTTATACCCACTGAGAAACTTTGTATGATATCTTGCATAATATCATGGATCCTAACTTGACCACAACTTTTGCCACCCACTTTGAGCTTACAGATCTGTTATTCAAAACCCTAGCACATGTGTGGGTATCCACCAATGTTTTTATAGCATATGTGTGCTTGTGGCCCACTTTTGAGCATAACACTAAAAAACCACACTTAGCCTTGCATTCTACCCTTACCATATATCTCTAATTTTTCACAAATGTAATTTCCCTACCATTTAACACTAGCCATTCACAAATTGCCTCTTTAAAATCAATTAGAGAATTAAATTTCATACCCCACTTAAACTTGTAGTCCTTATTGAGTTGCTCATTCTTAAACTTCTCAAACTTGGGCCTTTCATCACCATATTCATCTGGATTTAAACTGTCCAATTCATCACTATAATAATCATCTTCTTCAATTTTCTTGTTGGGCCTACCTAAGAATCCAACAACTCTATCCTCTACATTTATGGGTAGAGTTACATCAATTCCATCAAATCCATCTACAAGAGCAATAGTTCTTTCATCCTCACTATCATTTAGCCCTTCAACCACCTCATATTCCAATCCTTCCATTTATGTTACCTCATTAACACACTTAAGAACCCTTACCCTAAGTTCTATGTTCTCAACATCATGTTCAAAAAATATATCTCCACCAACTTGATTTGCACAAGCATAAGTTACAAAATCGTATGCACCATCATCCTTTCTTATTTGAAATAAATCAACATCAATTTATAATATTTTAGTCCACAACCTATAAGTACGTTTGTTATACCCCCACTTACTCACCAACTTGCGAATGGTTTTCATTGTCCAGTTCTCAATGTGTGCCCATATACATTCGTATCAACATCCCCTCTATAAATAATCTCGTTTTGCTTGACGATAATAAATTCACCCCTATGGTGAAAACTAACATTGAAATGTTTCATATAATGTGAATAAAGGTTCAGATAACATTCAAGTTCTATCTCGTATGCAAGCAAGCTTAAATCACCTAGGGTTCAAGTTCGTATAAAATCACGGTTACAGTTCACAATAAGGGTCAAAATCACTAACCTCAGACATGGTAGCTTCAATGCCGTCTCATTCCTCTTCGTTTGCAACCGAAACCGTCGACCACTACTCCGTCTGCAATTGCAATCGTCGTCGTCGTCCTTTTTCACCTGAGCTGAATTTAGTAATATTTGGGAATGGTAACCCTAACTATTACAAGGGGTAAATAAATATTTACATTGTAAAATATTAAACCCAAATTAAAAGAATAATATCATGGGTCACGCTAAATAGGTTTCAAGCTGGAAAGTTAAGGAAATCTTGGGTGAAATGTGGCAATCGGGGGCCTAAGTGACGGGATCTGGGTATTACAAGGGGGGATTAAAAAAAATCTTTTACAAGGGGCAAAACTGAATCTCGCTAACTTTGCAGGGGGTATTGTGTATTTAGCCATAATTTTTAAAATAATATATTTGTATAAATTTAAAATAACTTATACCATATATTGAAATAATTTAAATTTATTTAATTTATTTAATTATTTATACAAGATTATATACTTAAGCACTTAATTTAATAAACACTTAATGCAAAAAAACTAAATCTCCTAACTTAAATTTACCAAAATAATTAACAAATCACTCTTTTTTACTTTACTATTTTTTTAATTACATTAATTTTCTTACAAATAATATAATATTTACTTTGTGCAAAAATAAAGCACGTAGAGATTTGTATATATCATTAGTGACACCGTATAATGTGAGGGCATCACTATATTTATAGTAGGGTCAAACATCATAACATTTTATTAATGGTTAAAATAAATTTAAGAAAGTGGGGTGAGTTGCCCTCATTTTATTGTATATAGATCTATGCTTGTCTAATGGATTCGAAGAGTCTTGAGGATATTACGATCATAGTCAGCACTGGTCTGACGTATTTTTTTTGGAGGAGCTGGAACTTCCTCCACCAGTGAAACCTTCAACAACGGTGTTAACCGTGAAACTTAAATATTTATTAGGCATTTTTGAAAGAAAACGGTGAATGTGATAATAATGGAAGGTCTTACCCAAGTCAGTTTTACCAAGCTCCCTGGCAGATGCCACTGTACATGTTAAAAAAGTACAGATGTGTGACACCCCTATACTGATAGGGGTGACCAGAAGCTTTAGATTTTAACGATGTTTATGGTGGTTAGAGTCAACTCACAATGGTGAGAAATCATGTTTCAGTGGTGTTTTCTATGAGGTTTGAGCAAACTCGCAGAGGTGAAAAGCTCTATACTTTTGGAGTATTTCGTGATGAATTCAGAATATCTCCTCAACCTTTTATATTGGGCTATGGGCCTCATTTTAGAGGTTATTGAAAATTGCAACCGCTCATCCTAGTAAAAGTAACAGATTGTTGAACTCTTATTTTCTAAGAAGATATGGATTATACTCTTGACCCAAACATGTCACTTTCCACGTTTCATATCTTAGACGAGTAAGACGCGTTAGTTGAGCGATATTTTCACCTCGTGGACCATACCATCCCATCGTTCCTTGTAAGTGTGGTAAGATCTCAATGTCTTTTATATACCCTCACAAATATATCACTACAATATCATATTAAAAGATGAAATAATGAGATGTTACTTTATTTTAGAGTTTATTTCTGATTTTGACAGAAAAATGTATCAAGTTTATTTTGGAGTTCATTTCCTTTTTTGGCAGGTGGAAATGCTAGATTCATAATTTTAAGCTATTAAGTGATGCTTAACAAGAAGAAATGGATTTGAAGTATTTTTATATCGTCATAAATTTTAAATTTTGAAGTATTTTTATAATGGATAGTGGATTTCCTAATTAACACAATTTTTTTAGCCATATATATGTTTTGCATATCGGGATAACAACCGTCAAAAAATATGATTGAGAGAATATTTGTTATTTTTAAATTGTGTTTCACAATTTTTAAGACACGACCTCTATTTCTAATTAAGACACAAGCACAACTTATTGTGTTGGCATGTGCGACACTTCTTGATTTTCTTAAAATCTTAATTGTGCTATAAATTCATTAAATTTGAACTGAAAAAAAATATTGTATTTTTTTAAAAGTCTTAAAAATCAATACAAATATAATCTACATTCTACAAAAAAATTTAAATTTTATTTCACCAAAATAGTCCATTAAAATCTCAATTCTAACAGACTCTTAATTTAGTTTGTTCTATTATAAAAACAATAGCTAGGGTATAAGGAATTCACTTATATTTAAAAAAATAGAATCGAATCAAATTAATTGATTTAGTTCTGTTGATTGATTTATATAATTTTTTAAAATATTATATAATTTGAATATTTTTCACTATCATATTTTTTTTAATATATATATTTTTATTTTTTAAATAATATATTTCACATAATCATTTTCATTTATTTTATATTTTACTTCTCAAACAACTTATAAATTATACTTAATCCAAATAAATAAAATATATCAATAATAACAAAAGAATGTATACACATAAATTAATATTCCTCACACCTCGAATACTTATTAAAACTATTTTAAAATAGAATTAAAAGAAATTTCGTTGAAATAAAATAAGAAAAAAATTTAAAAAGGAGATGAGAACTAATAAAAAAACTTGAAACATAAAAAAGAATAATTATAATTATTAGATAAATATCTGTTTACGATTCTTAAAATTAAAACTGAGAATCGAAACAAACTACATTGATTTTTATTGATTTGATTTTTGAACTGAAACGAAAATTTTGATTTTTTTAATATTTAATTTGGTTTAAATTTTCAATTTAATCAATTTTTTTATAATTCGCTTATATCCTTAAAAATACCTAAACAATAATATAAATCTCTATTCTTTTTAGGTATGACAACGGAGCGCATTTAACTAGCCCCGCATCCGCATTCGCCTCTCTGTTACATATCTGTTCCGCCCCCAAATTCAATCGGGGGTAAAATTTACCGTCCAGACTCGTCCTTGATGGACACGGGCTTGCCGCACTCGCTCCCACCCGAAAAAAAATAATTTCTTTTAAATAATAATAAAAATTAATGATTTTATTAAAAATTTGACCATTTTAATAATAAACTTTTTTTTAAAAATGAGAGTTTGAGTGAATGGAAAAAAATAAATGATGGGACTTTTTAATTACTTTTACAAAAGTGAAAAAAATGTGTAATAAAATAATTTAAATATGAGTATTAAAGTAAATACCATAAAACTAGACGGGGCGGTGTGAGTGCGGGCGCGCAGTAGCATCTCCGCTTCCACAACTGTTATTACAAATCAAATTTTCTTTGCATTTACATCTAATTAAATTAGATTTTTTTTCCGTAACCCGAATTTTGTTGCCATACCTAATTCTCTTTGAATTTGGTCCACTCCATTCAATTCAATTGTATTTCGCTTCACTTCTTTCATTTTAAAATACACAAATCCAAACAGAGTCTAAAAAGTAGGGAGGGTGTAAAGAGCAATTAAACAAAATTAATAGAGTAAATTAAACTGACTTGGCTTGAAAGGGGGAAAAACCCAAAAAGGGGCGGCGAAGCGAATTTGCAACGAACATCACCGTCCCCCCGTCGGTAACAATGGAGGCTCGTCACGCATCTCTAGGTCGACGAACGGTACCGACCTCCTTCTCCATCCTTTTCGATTATCACAATCCTCATCCACGCATTACCATTTCCACCTCTCTTCAATTTCTCACTTTTCGTTTTACCGAATTCACATCAACCACTTCATCTTCAATTATTTGGCTCAATTTACATATATTTCGTTTCTCTCTTTCTCTAATCATTTGATTTTAATTGAATTGTGTGATTGAATTCATTCATAGCTGGAGGAAATTCGTCAAAAGAGAGCCGCGGAAAGATTGGTTAAAACCCCTTCCGGACCAGATCTAAGCCAGGTTCCGACTATCTCTGGTGAGTTTTACCGGTGAATAATTTTTTATTCAATTACTTTTTCTTCTATGTATTCATCTTTTTGTGCTTTACATTGCTGCAATCAAAATCGTTTTTCCTTTTCTTTCAGAGATGGCTACGATGAACAAGTTGGAGAGTGGGAATAGACTCTCTGAGGTAACATCTATTCTCCTATTTTATTGTTACATGAAGTCTATTTTGAACGATTTTGTTTCGAGGGACGTTATTTTCTGAAATTTGAACTTGATTGTGTGTATACTCTTGATACAGTCAGATGTTAGTTCACTAATATCTCAAATAAAAGATCTGCAAAAGAAGAACACTGAGTTGGATCAGGAAAATAAGAAAATAACTTTAAAGGTGAAGAGTCAGATTGTTATTTGTTGGTTTAAATTTTTAGTTCAGCAAAAAACAAACGCTTAGGCTGATTGTAGTTTGTTGTTTATTGTTGCAGCTTCAAACAATGGAAATTGATAATGATGCAATGCAGAAGAAGTTAAATGGACTGGTAAACAAAAAGGGATGACAATGAGTTTTGTTTCTATAGTTTGAGTTACAAATTTGATAATGAGTATTACTTTGTGAACACATTACAACATGGAGATAACTTAGAGCGCAGTTCCTAATTAGTCCAAGTGACGTTGCACTCCATATTATGGAGATTTTAACACTTATTAGAAAACCCAATTTGATTCCTGCAGGAGCAAAATACGGTGCCATCTCTCAGGAAAGCTCTCAAGGATGTTGCAATGGAAAAAGATGCTGCAGTTGTTGCACGGGTAATTATACTCAATTTTAACTATGTCTCCCGGCCATAGCTTGTTGTGAATTTTTCTTAATACCTTTTCTAACTTATGTATTAGTGCAGGAGGATCTTTTAGCACAGCTCCGTACCCTGAAGAAACGTCTTAAGGAAGCAGAAGAGGAGCAATATCGTGTACGGGGATTTTTATTTTACTAAAAAAATGTAAGATGAAAGGCCATTTTTGTCTTCATAATCTTATTGGCTATCTTTCTCTAGGCGGAGGAAGATGCAGCGGCACTGAGAGCAGAATTGAACTCAGTTCAGCAACAATCAATGACTAGCACAGTCAGTACAATTCCATCTCTTGGTCCACCAGACCACCATCTTCAAATATTAGAAAATGAGCTAACTGGTTTAAAATTGGAATTACAGGTGAGTTATGATTGTGTTATTGCCACTTTAGCCATTTAATTTTCTGTTGTGTGCCTAATGATGATTTAAATCTACAGCGTGAGTCACTGATGAGGCACCAGGGGCAAGAACAAATAGCAAAAGAGCAGAGCCGTATTGCATCACTGATGTCTGAAAAGCAGGAGTTGGAAGAAAAACTAAACTCCATGTCTCGAGAGGCTGAAGGTGCTGTTTGTAAAAAATTTTGGACATACTATATTAAATTTCTAATAGCTTATTGAATCAAATGGCAAGGCCATAAAATTCAAATTCTTCTTTGGATGCATTATGCTTTTTAAACTAATAAATTATTATTACTACCACCATGTTCTCCTTAAGGAATGGTCTCTGGTGGCTTCTCTCTGACTTCAAGTAATATAGTTTCATCTACCGATTTGTGCCATAAAATCTTCATGATGCCCAGGGTCCCCATTCTTTAGCAAGGATGTCTATGAAATTAATATTTGGTTCTATTATCATTGCATTTGACTTGATATTCCTTCTTGATGTATTGAAGTACTATATAACATTGAATTGACCCTGGGTTTTGCTCACGCAGAAGTCTCCGATAAAGCAACTCACAAGGCATTCACTTTGGTGAGGAAAACTTCTTTGATTTAATGAATTTCAGTATTTAACATCTGTTAGCTGATCAATCATGCCAAGAAATTTGCATTACTGGTTAATTTAAATCACTGATTAGGTATTAGCATATCAACCCCTTCGAATCCTCACTCTTGATTGTGATGATTTTTCTAAATATACTCTTCTTTTCAATGTGCCACATGGCTTATTCTACATCGGACATCTCATCTTTTACTGTTTTAATGCTTTGTCATGCTCTTATATCTTAAATAGGATGGCACCGAGATTCAACCCGAAGCCTTTACCCTTTCACTTTAGTTTTGATGTAAACACATTCAAGAGCTAGCACCGAGATGTATGTTTTCTTGCGGATGATATGGTCTTGGAGAATCAAGGGAGGAATTAAATGAGAGGTTGGAGATGGGTCTTAGAAGCATATTACTTTCACCCCAGTAGAAGTAAGGTGGAGTATTTAGAAAAAGGTGAAGCGATTCTAGCTTAGAAGTGAAAGTTGGAGATCATATTTATACCACAAGTTACGTGGTTGAAATATCTTAGGTCCATAGAACAAAACTACGAAAAAATAGAAGAAGACGTAAACCATCGAATTCAAGCTGGGTGGTTGAAATAGAGGAGGGTCTCTAGTGTTTTATGTGATACGAAAGTACCGCTCTGTCTGAAGGGAAAATTTTATCAGACAACCGTAAGAAACAACACGAAAATAAACTAAGTGTAGCAGAGAGGAGGATGTTGCGTTGGATGTGTGGTAAGACTAGACAAGATATGATTATAAATGACAATATTAGAGAGAGTTGGGGTAGCAAAGAGAGTAGATCAGATGGAGGTGGTCAAACAGCTAGTAGAGGTAGAAAAGAATCTAGAAAAACTATTAAAGAAACTATTTAGAAAGATCTCGAGATTAGAACACTGACTTAGTTTGATCCATGTAGCCCACTCTACTCAGTAAGATAAGGTTCAAATGTTATGGTTGTTGCCACTTAAGTATTACATGCTTAAATGATCAATCACATAATGGTTGCCAATATAATAACCATATCAATAATCATAAACTACAGAATGTCTTGATTCAATTTATTTATTTCATAATTCTCTGTGATTTAAAAAGATTCATTTTTACAGTTTATACAGATTTCCAGTATAATATTAGATTTTACCTCTTAAATATTTTTTATAATTATTTAAAATTTTTAAAAATACCGTGATATATTCAAGATGCTTTTTTGTTATGGTATGCGTCTATATTATCTAGTTATAAATTACAACTTTTTTGGAAACTTTAAGAAAGTGGAAAATAACATAGGCGAGTCAAAATGAAGTTTGCTTGGAAGAAGGAATTTTAGTGATTGTACAGTTGCAGAGGAGATCTCCTTCAATCTTCTTTAAGGATGTAGTAGTCACCAAACTTGTTTGGACTAGATAGTAGATACATGAGCTGTGCCCACTTGTTTGGACTAGATACATGAGCTGCCCATACTTTTACAACCGTCCTAATATTTTTTAATATCAAGCAAATCTGAATTATTTTTGTTCATAGTTTCAAGCTCTTTAAGTATGCTACTTCAAGCATAACCTTCTTTTTCTTGTTATCTATCATGGGTATTTTGGCAGCTGATGATGAAGACCTATTGTTAACCCCAACTTTATTTTCAGTCTATATGTTTTTGTTTAACGGTCAATCTTTTGCTAAATCTCAGGAAGACAAGCAGAAACTTGATAAGCAGTTGCATGATATGGCGTTAGCTGTAGAGAGGTTGGAAAACAGCAGGCAGAAACTTCTAATGGAGGTAAATTCTTAATATCTAAATTTTACTTTGTACTTTTCTGTATATTCCATCTGATAGAGTGGTTGGTTTGCCATCTTGTTGGAAGATTGATTATCAATCTACAGAGATAGAGAGGCTTTTTGAGGAAAATTCTAATCTCTCAAATTCACATCAAGAGGCAATTGGAGCAGCAGCAAGATGGGAAAACCAGGTAACAACTAATATCAGGAGTTCGACGAAATTTGATTTATGGATACTGATTTAGAGTCTCATCTATGCAACCATGGTTTAATATTTTATTTGAATTGTCTTCTAAATAGGGAAATCCTTGCCTACTTGTTTAATAGAAAAATATCGATCCCTATGGTTTTTATTCTTGGGATCAAGGCTCAAGAGTCTCTGCATCTTTTGACTAAAATGAAATTCAGTGAACAAATTTCATCTAAGAATTTAGTGATGTGGTTGATTTATCTGGGAACTATAGTCCAAAGGCTCTTAAATAAATGAAATCTAGGTTTACTACTTTATTTTATGTCAGAGGTGAATATCCTTGTATGTTTTCTAAAATATTGCCTCACTTGACAAATTGATACGCTGGTTGATATGACTCCCTCTTTTTGGTTTTATTAGTGTCTGTCATACACTCCTTTATTATTATGGCTTGCTGGTGAAGCGATTTAATGTAAAGTCGTATACTGAGAGGTGGTTTTCTCTTGCATGTGTATTTTTTCCTGCATTCTGTTTTGGCTAAAATTGGTATGACTGTTAAGTAAATTTTAGTGCCGATAGTTTTTATCTATTTATTTATGCTGAGTTGAAGATTTCCTTCTCTGTGTATGCGTTATAACAAATGTGATAGTTCTAGACTGAAGAATTTTGTCTCTATTACTGTGTTGACCGGTGATTCTGCAGGTGATGGAATGTCTTAAGCAAAATGAAGAGCTGCGTGGAATTCTAGAAAAATTGCGAGTGGAACAGTCTAATAGCTTGCCAGACTCATTTAAGAATGGGGTACATGAGACTGGTTCCTCAACATCTATTGGAGAGGTGGCATCTCTGAAGGTTATTAAACTTACCCTACTCATAACATGTTTGTTCTTTGCTGTCAATTCATGTTGTCCCCTTGCCGGGTCTTCTTGGGCTCAAAAATTGACTCTATAATTAATTGTCAAACTATAATTTTTTGAATTGTCAAACTATAATTTTTTGAATTGTCTTGTGAGAAACTTTATTGAGGTTCCTCCGTGCTCAAAATTCATCTGTTTCTGTTCCTTATTCTACACCCGTTTAATTGCTTGGCAGGGCCAACTTGTGAAGGAAATGAGCAGAGCAGAGACACTAACAGCAGAAGTCATGCAGCTTTCTGTACAACTTGAACAAGTCAAACAAGCATATGATGGTCTTGCACGCTTGTAAGACCCTCTCTATCTTTTCACTGTATCTGGCGCTCATGATTTATTCATTCTGACCCTAAGTTTTTTGTATACGATGCTCCTTTGTTAATGTAATCTACAATATTGCAGTTATAGGCCAGTGCTACGCAATATTGAAAACGGTCTCATACAAATGAAACAAGACAGCTCATTGTCTGTACGATGATTGCAATGAGCAGTTTCTTGACAACTCTGGTGATTGTGAAGCCCCAATCCTGACATGAATTTCCAATTTATATGGAATTTTTAGCACCCATTATTCATATCAGTTTCATAAAAATGAAACAGGACTGTTCAGTAACTGGCGGTGATGGAAATGACAACTCCGGTGTTACTTGGCATGAGAAACCATATGTTATAAATTTGTAAAATGTATCATTCTTTAAACCATATTAATATGTAAAGAACAAACACTATCAAACGGGGGAGTATATTTTGATGATAGTTTTGTATAAACCATAGATTGAAAAAGATGTAATTAAACTTTTTATTTCTGGTAGATGTGGATCATCTTGGAAGTTTGATTTATTTTAAGGAAATCGAAATGATAACAACGCTCCATATTTCCCTTGCATGATTTTGGTGTAAAAGAAACTATAAAAAGTGAAAGCTTCTGTTGTGTTTTATGTGCTGTCTAAACGCCTTACACTCTGTTAAATTGAATTATATGAAACTACTTTTCCTAAATATATAAGTATATTCGAGATATAAAAAGGGTGTTTCACACTACAGCCCAACACAATCAATCAGAAAGTGACCTCAATCAAGATATGATTCGTGATTCTAATCTTCAATGCCATAACTTATACTGGTTCACAATTTCACATGAATTAAGAAATCTGACCAGAATTTTTTACCTAGCTCTTTTTAAACAATTTTCGAATCAAAACTTTTGGAGGAGCCAAGTCAGAGAAAAACCCAAAACCAACAGTTAGATTAGTTAAATTAATAGTTATTTTTGGATAAAAAATAAACTCGCAATTAAATCAATTATCCAAGTGTACTCTTAAGTAACAAACGGATAAAAGCCAAATCAATCAATGCCTATTAGTCCGGTGATTATTCCATTATGAAAAGCAAATCCATAAAACAATTATTGAACCTTTGATAAAAACACAATTATTGGAGGACCTAAGCAAAGCCATAAGCTTAGTTATAAAAGAGTGAGAAGAGGTAGCTGCCAATATGTCCTATTTTCTTTTCTTTTCCTCTAAACCTTCGGTTACTTTTCTCCAACCATGAAAATCAAAACCATATTTTTCTGTCTCAGAGGGAAAAACCATAAGAGTAAGAAAAACGGGGTGGAAGATTTTGAGAAACTATCCTCCAATAACAAGCCTAGTCGTCACAAGGGAGGAAAAAATGAAGGGCATGTTTCAACAACTCATGCTGCTGCTGATCATGATGCTGGCAGCAATGTTCATAGCAGCAATGATGCAGGAGTAGTGGCTGCTGCTGTGGTGACGGCAGCTCATGTGTCTTTGATGAGTCAAGATGGAAGTGCTCATGGTGGTGAATCTGGTGGAGATGGTGGAGGATAGGACTGATATAGATAATATGTATAAGAACTTTTAAATTTTCCTAGCTATTATTATGACTTGGTTTACAATCAAATCTTTCTTGTTATCCTCTTCTCATCTCATCTACCTTGTATGCTTTGCAAGCTTATAAATAAAACTTGATTTCTTCGGGTTGTTATTATGTCGATACAAAAAGTTATATATTTTGCTTAATCACTTGTTTTTGGGAGTAAACATTACATTACATGGCTGTATGCATATGCCTATATAATAACAAAAATACCGAATTCTAATAAAAATTGAGGAGAGAGAGATTTTTCATTGAATCTAAAACTGAATTTGTTATTGTAGAGTTAGAACAATTGAGTGGGAACTGAACTTACATAGTTCAGTTTAGAATGTGTACATTCTAATACAGAGTTGGTTACATGTCTAGTGTAACTTTAACTAAGTCCCTATTCTAATTTATTCTAATATCTTCCCCCTCAAAGGTAGGATCATCTTTGTGCAAGAGAAGATTTATCTTGAACTTGCAGTTTGTCTCTGAGCTGCAACAACCTGAAAGATGATAGGGGTTTGGTAAGATCATCAGCAGACTAATCAACTGCAACCGTGTGCTGGACCACTAGGTTTTTGCTCAAAACCTTCTCCGGCAGGAAAAAAAATCTAGTTCCATGTGTTTGGTTTTTGCATGGCATGGAGAACATGGTTGTGGGATAGAGCAACAATGCTTAAATTATCACAAAATAGAATAGGTGTAGTGAAAGGGACTCTCAACTTAGTGAGGAGAGACTGGATTCAGAGCACTTCTGAAGAAGTATTGACCAAACTTCTGTACTCAACTTCAGTGTCGGACCTGACAACAAAGATTTGCTTTTTCAACCATCAAGAGACCAAGTTTGGACCTAGATAAATGCACGACCCTGAAGTAGACTTTCTATCATAAGGATCAGCCCCTCAATCAGCATAGGCTTTGATGGAGAGAGGAACATTGGTAGTGACAGGCTTTAGTAATAGGAAATGATAGAGAAACCCTTTAAGATACATTAGTATTCTTTTCACAATAATTCAATGACTCTCAATAGGTTGCGAATGAAATTGACAAACTTTGTTCACATCATAACTAATTTCAGCTCTTGTGATTGTGGCATATTGAAGAGCCCTCACAATGGATATGTAATAAGTGATTGTTAGTTGGGATTTTCGACCGATGGAAAAAATCAGCAAATAGGTGCAGTTTAAAAAGAGTTTTTTTGGTTCGACCATACTTTTGGACTTAGAAAAAATTTGGTTGTTGAAAGAAGCATCTCGACACCAGTGTACCTCGACCAAGCAGGTCTTACTACAGCGACAGATTGGTTGAGAGAGCGGTTATTTGAGCGCGTTATGTCATGTTCAAATTTTTTATAATTACTTCAGTTCCTTTTCTAAAGAGACACGTGGAAGAAGTTTGAAGGCGGATCACATGCAGAAATACACGTGGCGAACCCAAGGAATAGGAACATTGAGGGTAGTTATTTTACACTTGCATATATAATAGCTCGTTATGTTGAATTAGAGGTGTTCATTGTATTACAAAAAATCTCACTGAAAATTCAAAGTATCATTGCTAAGAGAAATGAGCGAATGACTGAAAGAATGTAAGAGCAAATGAATCACCATGTTTTAAATTTCAATGCAAAGCTTTTTATTTTGTTCAATTTGCTTATTCACGTTCATCATTTTCCTTCAAACCTTTAGTTTCATTCAGTATTTCCAGCATTGGTGCTTCTAGGGTATTTTCTTCTTGCAATAGTCAAAGTCATTCATAGTCTTACGCAAAACATTATCTTTCGACCAAGTCGAAGACAATCATTTTAGATACAAGAAAATCCATAACAAGAGGTTATTTGACAGAATGTCCTAGGATTCACTAGTTGATCCTGCAAGTAATCTGTATTTTTAGAAACCATTAGTTGCTTACATTTTTTCAGCGTAAACAGTGACATCATAAATATAGTCATCTCTATGTTTAGACAACTTTAAATTAGACACCACAGGGATGGGAAATCCCTTTGCATCAAATAAATTAGCTTCGGAGAAAATATCCTCTAATGTACTTTGTTTAATACAAAAACAAAGCACCACCCAGTTGATGTGAGACTTGTATGCCTAAGAAATACTCAAGATTTCCAAATTATTTTTAGGCAAACTGAGAGTTGAACTTTGTGACCAAATTTTGAGCTTGGACAGGTGAGCTACACGTTACAATTATACCATCCACATATATAAGCATGATAATGGTATATGTGGGCGTGACAAGAGAGAACAGTGAGGGATCACATCTGTTAGAGAATAAAGTCAAGCCCCCTTGTGAGCAACATTAAGCCTTTCAAACCAAATCCTATGTGCTTGTTTAAGGACATATATGGCTTTATTGAGTTTGCACACAAGATGAGTATTAGAATCTTTAAAGCCTAAAGGTTACTACATATATACTTCTTCATGCAGAATGCTATTAAAAAAACATTATTTACATCAAGTTGAGATATAAGTCATGTTTTTGACACAACCAAAGTAAGAACATTCCTCACTGTAATAGGCTTAACCATTGGTGAAAATGTTTAAGTAAAATAAAAGACTTGAACCTGATGAAACCCTTTAGCAATCAACCTAACTTTGTATTTATTTAAGGAACCATCAGGATCTTGTTTTATTCCAAAACCCATTTACATCCAATAGCATGTCTATTGGATGGTAGTTCAATTAAGGTCTAAGTTTGATTGGATATCAAGGCTTTGTATTCATGATGCATGTATTAGTGTATACAGCTATTGTTAGTTGTTATTGGGTTGTTATAATTGCTTAGACAGTTATATATAGTTAGAAAATAATCATTCAATGTATACTTTTGTTGAATAAATAAAATACTTCTTCCTCATCTCTACTCTCTCTCTCTCTCTCTCTCTCTCTCTCTCTCTCTCTCTCTCTCTCTCTCTCTCTCTCTCTCTCTCTCTCTCTCTCTCTCTCTCTCTCTCTCTCTCTCTCTCTCTCTCTCTCTCTCTCTCTCTCTCTCTCTCTCTCTCTCTCTCTCTCTCTCTCTCTCTCTCTCTCTCTCTATAGTCTCCCTCTCTTCCCTATCATTGGTATCTAGAGCCTGTCGACCTCAGACACAATATTCATGGCAGAAGCGACACGAATGCAGAACGCCATTCGTGAATTGGAGAATCGTTTCGAAACTCAATTCACCAATGTGCAAGAAGCCATGCGCGGAATTGGATTGCAACTGTCAGAGTTAACGGCGGCGCGTCGCCATGGTGGCGCCAGCGGCGGAGCAACTCGACCAGCAACGCGATTGACGTGTCTGGATTTTCCAAAATTCACTCGAGATGATGTGGAATCTTGGATCACGAAATACGAACGTTTTTTTTTGTGTTGGATGGAACGCAAGAAGGGGACAAGGTTTCGGTTGCGAGTATCGCTCTTGATGATAACTCTTTTCCTTGGTTCCAAAGTCTAGAACAGGGATCGAATGGCCGGTGGACATGGACGAATTTCACCGAGGCATTGAAGATGCGATTTAGCCTCGAGTTCGATTCCCCTATGGAAGAACTCAAGAAATTGGTGCAGACTGGTTCGCTGGAGGCGTATCAGGAATCGTTTGACA